CCAAATTCCCTCAGAGCCCCACCCAACTCATCTGAGCCCCCCGAATCCCCTCACCTGAGCCCCCCGTGCTCACCTGGTACCTGCCCACGTCCTGCCCGCGGGTCACCGGGAACTGCTTCCCGTTCACATCGGCGTAAAGAGCCACGTTCTGTGGGGAGGGGGTGCTCAGGGGGGGTCTGGGAGGGTCCCGAGCACCCCAAAACCCTGCAAAGCCCACCCTGAGTTCCCTAAAACCTCCCAAACCCCATGAAAAGTTCCCCAAAATCTCACAAACCCCACCCTGAGCATCCCAAAACCTCCCAAACCCCACTCTGAGCATCCCAAAATCCCCCCAAACCCCACTCTAAGCACCGCAAAATCTCCCAAACCTCACCAAAAGCTCCCCAAAATCCCCCAAACACCACCCTGAGCATCCCAAAATCCCCCAAAACCCACTCTGAGCACCGCAAAATCCTCCAAACCCCACCAAAAGCTCCCCAAACCTCCCAAACCCCACTCTGAGCTCTCCAAAACCCCAAAAACTCCACCCAGAGCACCCCACAACCCTCTAAAACCCACCCTAAGCATCTCAAAACCTCCCAAACCCCACCCTGAGCATCCCAAAACCTCCCAAACCCCACTCTGAGCACTGCAAAATCCTCCAAACCCCACCAAAACCTCCCCAAAATCCACCAAACCCCACCCTGAACTCCCCAAAACCTCCCAAACCCCACCCAAAGCACCACAAAACCTCCCAAACCCCACTCTGAGCACCGCAAAATCCCCCAAACCCACCCTGAGCATCCCAAAATCCCCCAAACCCCACCCAGAGCACCCAAAACCCACTCTGAGCACCGCAAAATCCCCCAAACCCACCCTGAGCATCCCAAAATCTCCCAAACCCCACCCCTAAGCTCCCCAAAACCCCCAAAACCTCGCAATTCCCCCAAAATCCATCCCGAGCTCCCCAAAATCCCCTAAAACCCCACTGACAGACAAAAAATACCTTTGAGCAACCCTTGGGACATCCAGAGACAACATCATGAGGAGTTTAATGGAGAGGGGTCTTACCTGGGCGCCGTTTTTGCAGACCAGGGAAATCTCCACCACGAAGACGCTCTCGGAGGCGATGACGGCGTCCGAGGTGGTGTAATAGGA